TTCATCCCTCTTATATATAAATTAGTACAAATCTCGTGTTATGCATGAGTAAGAGACATTTATTAATATTTATAAATTAAAATTTTTCATTAAATAATATTTATAAATAAAAAACATGGAATCAATATATAATACAATGTACCTATATTAATTTATTAAAAATATTATATAAAATTTAAATTGTGTAAAATTATATAAAAATATCTATTTAAATTTATGGTGAAACTGATTACAAATGTCATATGGTTTGTTTCTATTCGATGCACGGTTTCATTTCAATTTTCGAAAAACTTAAACAAAGGGTCTATAAATATTTGATATTATTTCTAAAATTTTAAGATTGTTATTTACTTAGAAAAATATGGTCAAAGTGATAGCATATGTCATCCGATATCCCCCTAATTAATAGGACGATTTTATTTTCAAATTCTCAAAAAATTCAAACAGATTTTATAGAGGCGGGATATTTCGAATTTTTGCAAAAAAATTTACTATAATTAGTAACTCTTGAATTTTAGGCGAGAAATCAAATGTTTTTTTGCTAATTTTTTGTTACTATTTCAAGTAAATATCATTGCCTCTTTATATATTAATAGATTCAAGACGTGTTGAGGCTAAATGGAAGACTCGCACGCTTCAAACGCTGACATAACGAAAATCTATATTTCGTAATGTTATTTGTATATTCATTTCTGCTCTGCAATTAGACTTGGTATTAGACATAAATAACTTTTTTGGACTAGGTAAGTGTACATTTAGTTTTGTTATTTTTTTTTCCTCTCAGTACACGTTTTGGGCAAGTAGCAATCTTACCAACTTATAATTTTCTCCCATATTTCTCTCCTAAATTATGATTTACAAATCACTTTCTGCACTGTCTATTCCTTTTTTTTTTCATCAATTAGTCCATCAAAATTTTTTGAGTAAAAATTTTATTTTAGCAATAATTTTTATCATATATTTCTTAATTCAACACCCGTGTAGTACACGGAAATTGTACTAGTAATAAATATACATAAACTTTCCGATAAAATAGAGGAGCTAAATCCATTTATAAATAAATAAATATAAGCGTCCTTCTCGAATAAAATAAAAAAGTAAGAAAATAATTTAATATGTTGCTTAATATTATTCCTTGACAGATCTCACTTGATAATAAATTGATATATTACTTTAATAATAATTATTTTTTTCAATATACTTTAACTATTTTCGTTACTAGTTATCAACTCGTGCATTTGCACGGAAAACGAAATATTAGAGGAATATATAATAAAAAATACAAACATAAGTAAAAATTAAAATTAATCAATGAAAAAAAAATAGAAAATAATTCTAAATATAAGTTGAAAACTTCTTTATATACAACACTTGTGGTTTCTACTTGTCATAATCCCCATCACCACAAATAATTATCTTCAATCCCCTACAATTCGTTACACTGGAATGAGCCACATACATTGAGACAATTGTTTATTACTGAATACGGGGCTCTTCAGTAGTAAGCCGCGTGTGATAGAGACCGAATTTGACTCTTATTGACTGTCATAACATAGGAAATCATGAGAGGAAATTGCTTGCAGTAAAACTTGAACAATACTCTCAAATCAGATGGTATAATTGTGAGTCTAGGAATAAACACCTTCTCACCAGCTCTGGCACCGGTTAAAAATCTGCATTCGAGGACATGACTATCGAGCGTAGTAATAACCAAACGTCTACCATTGCACAACTCTATAGAATGACCAATTTCCTCAGCAGCATCACTGGAGTGTCGACCTTCAAGTGCAATTTATAATTCGAAAGCCCCGAGCACTAAATACCATTTAAAAATTTAGGAGTATGAAGATCATGAAAAGAGTCATATCTAGCGTCTGACTTGCAAGCGGTCTCTGAACTCAAATAAGTCCTTCACTCGGAGGAGTTCAATAAAATCATGTATTCGTTAACGGACTCCATGAAATGAACTGAGGAGCAAGTATCGCTCTGTCCTTCAGATAAATAAGGTCTTCATCTGAACTCCTGAACATAGATAGGTACTCTCAAGTCTCAACAATAGCAGCAATTGGATTCCCTTGTGATTTAAGAATAATATCATCGGAAATGTACAACAACCATCGCTCGATCCACCGGCCGATGCTTGCAATCTACTCCAAGAAGCTCCTCAACTTATCATACTTATCACCCCACCAAGGCTTTGAAGACTCACATTTCGAGTCAGTCTGAGAATTATATAATCCAGCCACAACTTAAATGAATTGATCGTCGCATTCATTATGTCACTTCGACTGCCTTTAGGGACAACATAGAGTATTGTCTAAAACCGCCACCAAATACAACATATTTGCCGCCAAATTGGAAGATTTTTCCTCTGCGGATCCACTACATCCATTAAGGCTCGTAAAGTGTTATCATCCGTCTGAAAGCAATACCTAATCATTATCGGGACTTCATCCCATATGTTTGTCGTCATTACCATAGATTGTGCTCATAACTTCATATATAGTGTTGTAGCAAATTATATTCTTACCGAGTACGGGATGAGTGCCGACCTTGGGCCGATCTCTCGAGGAAAGCGGTTCGAAATCTAGATTCGATGTTGATTGCACACAAAAGTAAAATAAAACCTAAACACTCTATTGCAGGAATGAGGTTTGAACTAACAACTAATAAAAATCAGAAAATGCAAAAATGGAAATCAACTCAAAAACAAGAATCAACAACTACTAATTTTTTTTATAGTTATTATTAATCTAATTATATATTATAAATTTTAAATAATTTTAAATTTTGACTAGCTTATCAGCTATTTTTGCCAAAAATCTTTAATATACATCAACGAGCTTATCAGCTATAAGTTATAAATTATCAGCTAGCTAGCTTATAGCTTGTCAGCTATCAGGTAACTTATAAGCTATAAGTTAACTTATCAGCTAGGTTTATTAAACACAACCTATATAAAATTTAATGAGTTGCTGCATCATACACATTATATATATATATATATATATATATATGTATATATATATCGTGAGAACCAAGTCTTAATGTGAGAACCAAGAGAACCGCCATTTTTAATTGTGCGTAGTGTTATGATTGATTGTGTTTTGTGCTATTTTCAACCAGGATGATTTTATTAAAAAAAGAAACACAATTTCTGTTAGCATTGGTAAAAATGATATCATCATCTAATATGAAAAACAGCATCATACACAATTAAAAATAGCATAAAAACGGTTCTCACGGTTCTCACACTAGGACTAGTTTTTATTTGAACCTGCCCCTATATATATACAATAAAATGAGTAATCTAAAACGGTAAATAATTAGTAAGTATAAAATGCAACCTACTGTATTTAAATGATGTAGTTACATGCTAATTTCATTACTGTTTTGTTTAATTAAGATGACCAGTTATGCTATGAAGCTAACAGTTGGATTCATAGTGGAGCCAACCTTCTATATACAACAAATAATATAGAAGGTTGACTCCACTATGGAGCCAATTGTTGGCTTTATAGCAAAGCTTATAAGATGACTGTCAATTTTTCAACGGTAAGACTGCATTAGGTAAACCGAGATGATTAATATATGCCGTCCGTAGATAAACATAATGTCAAATTATATGTATAGTGTCAAATTAAAACATTATACTTTACAAATAATACAAACAAAATATTTTGTAACAGATTTTTTATTAAAAAAATATAACGATTCACAGAAAACAAACATTTGATTCCCAAAGAATATAGTAACAATTAGTTTAGACTTTAGATTTTGCTTGCAACTTTAATTTTCAATTTGTAACAATATTGTTTATATTTTTTAATCTTCATTGAAATTATCCCAAGTGCACCTTTAGCTTTATGGTAAAAATCATGCACATTATTCTCAACAACAAAACTCTGGTGGCCCACAAATTACTAGGAACCTAAAAACATGTTGACCAAATAGTTCAAAACTTCAAACGTTATATATACAAAGGACGCCGTTTCTGTAGAGCCACGACAAATTTGGAGTGCTAATAAAAGTTCTTGTGCCTAGTGAAAAAACTCAATATAGTGTTCGCAGAAAAATATATATACTCTGCTCGTACTTTAATCATCAATATCCAAGGGGCTATTTTGGCCGTGGCCAGTGTGGATTGTGTTGGATTCGCATCTCCCTTTGCAAATTACCGGTAAATTTCCAATCTTTTTCTTTTCAGCGTTCTCAAATTGCATTCCACTAAGCGCAGCCATGGCCGGATCCTTGCTTTATTTTCATGGTATCGTTGGTTTTCAGAAGAAATATTTCTCCAGGATAGAATTTAGGGTTTCGTTGATAACCAGGAAGTTTGAGTGATGAGTTGTGATCTTGTTTTTCTTTTCTTTGTGAAGAAAAGATCTGGTGTAAGAGTGGGTCAAGGTGAACGATGCCCCCGCAATTCTCGAATGAAGAGCTGGAAGAGCGGCTTACCGCCGCCGGGAACAGCCTTCTTCAGCCTCCCTCCTCAGTCTTTGAGCTCTTGTCCCTTCTCGACGTAAGCCCCCCTGTCAGCCTTAAATAAATAAATAATGAGATTAAAGATTTGATTTTTATTTATTTATGAAGATCTTGAATTGTGACTCTGTTCGTCATCTTAAAGTCCCAGTTTTCCTGTTGGATATGCTTCTTAGAGCAATTCATTAACTGATGTCATTGACATTGTTGATTCCGGTTTCTGGGGCGGGAGCAGTAAAAAAATTGTTTTTACATTCTCTTTGTTTTGAGTTTTTAACTGTTGAAAAGAGTGATGATTCTGCCTGTCAAGATTTTTTTTGTTTAGGTTGATATCAGGTCGTGAATGCGTGAGTAAGTTGCACATTGTTGTATGCAGAGCATTTGCATGCATCTATTTACGGTCCGGATTAAGATGCGTTGTTATCTAAGTTGAGCTAGATTGTTCTATTCTGGTTGTTCTACATTTAAAATAAATGGCCTAATGGATCCCACTTATTTTGGTAATTATATTTCAATCAGGAAGTGAGACTTGATACTCGTTCCAGTAGATTTATTTATCTTAATGCATGTGTCGTGTTCGTTAACTTTTAGTTCACAGTCTTTTTCCCATATCTGTAAATTGTGATAATCAAAGTGGAATTTTCAATTTTCAAATCCTTCGGCAGTTCTGCATGAGAATCCCTTTAAGTGATTCGCATCGTTAAATACTATTTATATTTAATGTCACGATATTAAGTGCTTATATGGTAATATCGTATTTCCAGAACATCAAATTGTGCATTTAGATATGTTGCTTTTTTCTAAGAGATATGTTGGAATTTCACTTGTATTATTTGTAATTTATGAATCGTGAATCACGTCATTTGAATGGTTTGATTCCTTTAATTTTCAACACGAAGTTTATCGTTCATTGAATCTGGGACAAGAATAGCCCTACATAACACGGTTCTGGACTTTTTACGAACAAGAAAGTTATTTTGCCACCTACTTTCTTAAGTTTTAGAATACTTGTTCACCACCCAATAATGTAAATGTTCAGTGGCTTGAGCATGAAACATATATGAATACATGCATATGTTGCCATTTAATTCACGAAAAAAAGTTTCGTGTATAAGATACTTCTTTTGTGATCTAAACTAATATTGATATTTACTTTAATAAACCTTTGTTCTTTGCTATTTTCTTAAAGCAAATTGAGGAGCTTCTTTCGAAAGTGGAGCAGTCACCTGCCCAATCCATGCAAACTGCTCTTTCTCCACTAACGAAGGCACTGATCATGGAAGAGCTTGTGAAGCATTCTGATGAAGATGTTAAAGTAGGTGTAGCTTCTTGCATCTGTGAGATAACCAGAATTACTGCACCCGAGGCTCCGTATGATGATGATAAAATGAAGGCGATCTCTCTCTCTCTCTCTCCCTCTCTCCCCCTGTGTCTGTGTGTGTGTCTCATCCCACCAATTTTTAAGTTTTTGACATTTTATATGGTTTCAGGATGTCTTTCAATTGATTGTGTCACCATTTGAGAATTTGTCCGAAACATCCAGCAGATCATATAGAAAAAGGGCCTCTATACTTGAAACTGTAGCCAAAGTCAGGTCTTGTTTGATCATGCTGGATTTAGAATGTGATCAGATGATCAATGAGATGTTCCAACACTTCCTCAAAGCGATTAGGTAAGAGTTCAAATTGCCAGTTGGATACCTTCTTTATAGTTTATTTCTGGTCTCCACAAACATTGTAATTTAAATTGTTATCTATTGTTCTGTTGAATCATATTAATCTCTTGTTCTTTCTGGTTTAAAATGGATATGTCATTTCAGTTTTCAAGTCCATTCTTTCTGCATCATCTTAACTCCCATTTTTGTGGTCGAACCTTCAGTCCTCTTTAATCAGACCACACGTAGAGACATCATGGGTTCTTTGAGTTATAATTGCTACTTTAAAGTGTTGCATGTTAATAGTTTTATCGTGAGTTTGGAATAAACGCAGACATTATCCTTTTGTTACTCATTGATCCATTTGCATTCATCTTTATCCATTTGAAATCTGATATCATTTCATAGCAGTTAAATGAAGTCTTAGAATTAATGTAGGAAACTTCTATGTCATGTTTCTAATTAATATGAATGAATAAGCAACTTATCATGTTGGTGTGTCTAGTTTCTGATCGTGCATGTGACTAAGAATTAATCCATCATGAGTAGTAAACTTTGTCTATATCCTTATTTTCAGAGATTATCATCCACAACTCATCTTTGCATCCATGGAGTCAATAATGACTCTTGTTTTGGAAGAAAGTGAAGACATCTCCCCAGATCTACTCAATCCAATTTTGGCTACCTTGAAAAAGAACAATGAGGTTGATTTATTGGGCCTTCTAAAGAATTTGCTTTTTTTTTCTTTTTCTCCTCTTCTGTGTTCTACTTGTTGCTGACAAAGAACCCATGCAGAATGTTCTGCCAATTGCAAAGAGACTGGCCGCGAGAGTTATTGAAAATTCATCTGAAAGACTTAGACCTTATTTAGCACAAGCAGTAAAGTCTTTAGGTTCTCCTGCGGAGGATTATGGTGAGGTTGTAGCTTCCTTGTGCCGAGAGGATACTGATACAACTGGAAATAATAACGAGAGCGTCACAAATGATCCACAGGTATATGTTCGTATATCATCTGTCAGCTTGTTGGGATTGTCCATGTTTCTTTGTTATGCAATGTAATTGTGGTATGTTATACTATAACTGCTATTCTCTCAGAAAAAACTCGGATAATTTTCCTCATGAATAGTGCATGTATAGCCTCTTGTGGTATCATTTAGTTTGATGAGAAAACCGGTCACATTGTCTAACTCAACCATAAATTATATGATTTCCTTTCCCTTTCCCATTTTTTTTTCCTTCCCCGTGCATGAGCATCTATAGGACAGAAAGGATTGTGTTCAATACGATAATTAGTTTTCTAGATCAGTTGACTTCATTTTCGGATTTACCCATAATTAATTTTCATATCTTGTGCCTAAGATGCATAAATGATGCTGGACGCACTAGTTATGCCTGTGCAGTTATCTTTAAACATTTTTGTCATGTTTTTTTTTATCGGATGAATCTTTGCCAGTTACTCCAGCGTTCATTTTTCATATAAATGAGTAAAGTTTTTCTACCCTTGCCCTTTAAAGTGATGTGCTGCATCTTATGGTGTCTAAGCAGGTGGTTAGGGAAGGTGGGGAAGGGATCGATTCTCAAGAGAAAGATCTCACTTTGATTGAATCGTCTAAGTCAGTAGTTAGTATTGTTCTCAATGAGACTTGTACCGAAGATACTATGGCAGATTCCAATATTTCAAAGGAGGCTAATTCTGACCATCAGATTGATGCCAAATCGGTGTCCAAAACAGAGTCTGATGACTGCAGTGCTCAAAATTTAGAGAAGCTGGAAGCTAATGCTACTGATGCCGAACTTGTTGAAGCTGCCAAATCTCTGAATGAAGTTGAAGATGCTACCAATCAGCTTTCACCATCACATGCATCTGAAAATGAGAATGTTGCATCTCCAGTCCATAGTGTAAGCCTTTCTGGTGAGAGCCGATCTGAAAAAGATAGTCCGGCCAAAGGGAAGGAGGACTTGGTTGAAGAAGTGATAGTATCTGTTGATATTGTTTATATGAAGGCACGTGCTGGAGGAAGGCGTTCGAAATCAAAAAAGCAGCGGTGGGGTGGCAAAAAGAAGAAATCTGTCGAGAAAACTGTGAAGGAGAAAGAATTGCCTGGAGAGGGTGCATCCAAGAATGAAGGGACTGCAACAGATTCAGAGGTAAGATCACTGGACCAGACTCCTAATAATAAGACGGAAGATGGATCCTCAATGAGTAAGGAAGATGAGAAAAATAAAGGACATGTGAAGCCTACCTCAGGAAAAGTTCCACTGAAATCTTCTGGGAAAGTAGTTCATGCGAAAGTAATTCGATATTCTACTTGGAATGTTAATTTAGATTAGTTACTTTTCATTTACAGTGATTTTTTTTTTTCATATGATTTCATCATTTTTCATATCTTAATTACTGTACTTGAACTCAAATACAACATTACCGCAAATATGCAACAGACACGAGGTCGGCTATATCACAAAGTCAGTGGTCGAAAGTGCAACTATGTGTTGTAAGTTGTAACTGAAATTTCCAACTTACAAGCGCCACACAAAGTAAACACATAAGAATTCATAGATTTTTTTTTAATTATTATTATCTCTATCATTAGCATTGTTGGAACCCACATAGCCAACCAATTTTGACACCTTTCTCTTGCTTCGAAAAATTCAAACCATAGTTTATAGAACCCAGCAAATACCTCAAAAACAACTTCATGCCTTGACAATGGCAGGTAAACACCGGGATTAGAAATATATCCTAAAAAGCTTAAAAAACCTCGTTTCCCACCCAGTGCCCCCAGCTCTGATCACTCCACCCACCCATGAGTAAGCCCGGAGTGTGAAGCACCCTCCTCCAATCCCTGAGTCCAGCTAAATAGCCTGGAGTGTGAAGTCACTCAAAATAGCCTCTCGTTTTTTGCCCAAACAATTTCCCTCACAGGTACTCTACAAATTCGCTTCGGCTGATTTTTACTACCTTGCAAATGGTACTCCATAGTTTTTTCACAAGGAATCGTATACATACAAAAGAGTTTTAAAATGAGAGACCGACATAGCAAACAATCAGCACCATGTCCTAGTACAGCAAAACATAAAAACAAACTTTACACACAAGATTCGCCCAAAACATCTACAGCAAAGTGAATATATAAGCCATATACATTGAATGCAAAGGTACACGACGAGTCGAAGCAAACATCGGAAATTTCTGGCCCAGTTAGCAATAATAAACTGATTTCCTACATTATAATATACTTTCAAAGCCAGCCATACCTGCATAGGAAATTGGTAAACATACTAAAAATGTAGGTAGATATCAAGGAGCCTTCATATACAAAGGACATTCAAAAACAAACTAAAAAGGATAAACAGAGTTAATGTTAAGACACTACCCAATTGGACAGACCATCACAAAATATACCAGAATTCCTACACATAGTAACAAAAGCCTGGAAACTAGCAAATCATAAACACAACCCAAAATATCCACTGGATCCATCACATAATAAGCCAAATAAACTACAGATATTGATAAAATCAGAAGGCAGCAACCTGCGTGCACACCATCAATGGCCCCAGGACTTCATCATCTGCAGAAGAAGCTTTGCCTGGTGAGTCTTCACCTCAAAATGCCTCACATACATCTCCGTCTCTTCACTCTCCAGCTTCTTCAATGCTTCTTCGTCCTCCTTAACCCCCATTTCCCCCTCCTTGAGCATGAGGTCCCCGACAGCTGGAACATTGCCTAAATCACTCAACAACCTTTCCCTCATCCGCACAATCCTCCTCTCACTAGCCACTGAATCCTTAATATTATTGGTGTCCACCCCACTTCTATTGGCTTTTTCGACCCCGTTTTCTTTCTCAGCCCCACTTCCATTGGCTTTTCCGACCCCGTTTTCTTCCTCAGCCCCACTGCCATTGGCTTTTTCAACCATGTTTTCTTTCTCAGCCCCGCACATTTTCTCCGACAGATCGTAGGCTTCCTGCTCATGCTGGCTCGTAAAGGTTCTTCCTTTACCTTCATTCTCCTTGCGCTTGTTGTTTCTGTACTTTTTCAGGTAGGAAATCTTATCACTCAGCTGGGCAAATCCAACCCGAATGATAATTTTGACGCGTTCCTCAGCCCCACTACCTGAGACATCCGAGAAGAAACAACTGTTCCAGAGAATATGGAGCGTCTGCAGTTTAGGGCCGAGAAGAAATCCAACCCGAACGCGTTTTTTGAGTTCATCAAGAAGAATTAACCTAATAAATAAACTTTAATTAACTGCCTAAATATCAGTTACCAATTGTAACTTTCTCCATCCCATATGTGAGTGGCGTGATTTGCGCATGGTTACCAGGAAAAAAATAAAAAAACCTCCATCCATCTTTTTATGGGATTGATTAAGTGAGAGAAATGAAAATATGCTTATAATAACTCATTTAATTCTTTAATTCGCGCACTTTTTATATTTTTAGTAGAGAAAGAGATAAAAAACATATATTGTAATTCACACAACTGTCTAATGGGTATATGTTGCGTTTATACTAGTATATATTCAATATATATTGAAATGAAAAACATGTTTTCCATCAAAAAATTATGTATTTTTTTTTTACTTTTATACATAAAAGTATATATATAGTTTATAAACATACTAGTGTGTGGCCCGTGCGATGCACAGGAAAATAATATTATGTTTATATTATAACAGGTTATTTATATTCCATATATCAAAAAATCTTCTTGAACATATATTCCCTATACACACATCATATACCGAATAACTTACAAAAAAAATCTTCTAATATATTTAACATATACTCAGGTGGTATATATTGCATTTTTGTTAGTATATATTCAGTATATGTTAGTATAAATAAAAGTATACATGTAGTTTATAAACATATTATAACAGATTACTTATGTTCCCTATATAAATTTTTTTTTTAAATATACAGAACATATACTCCATATATACACAACATATACCCGCAACATATACAAAATGAAAACTGGCTATCAACGAATCAAGTACATCAAGTGTTCGACAATAAATCTTATATTATACAGAACATATACTCCATATATACACAATATATACATAAACATAAAATAAACATTGAAATAATCCGATCGAAACTCTTCAAATGTCGCTCGAGTTATCGTACTCCACCCCGCTGGATTTCGACCGGCCTGATAATCCCCTGGTTCGAGTGCCTCTTCTTTGCCATGTTCACTATTCGAGTGCCTATTCTTTGCCATGTTCACTAAATCCCTTCTGCTTATGTGAGAAAATACAACTGCATACACCACCCTCTCCTGCCAAAACTCAAATGTAAAACCAGAATATTAGAAAAGATTGTTAAAACTATTTAACTGGTCATTAATATTCCACGACTAATGACTCGAACCAGTGATCAAATACCAATTAGTGGGAAATTTAGTTTTTGTTTAAGGTAAAATAACCCATATTTGAACTCGAGCTCCAACACACATAAAGAAAGGAAAGAGAAAGAAAATTAAATTAATCACAGTACCCATCTTCTTAGTTGGGAGTTTCAGATGAATTGAAAAACTGACGATTCTTCAAAAGGAAAAAAAAAAGAGAGAAAAATTCTACATGTAGGGAAAGAGAAAATATAAACGTAAAATTGTAGGAGAAGAAGAAAAAGAAGAAGAGAGAGGGGAGGGAAAGGGAGAGAGAAGACGAAGAGAGAAGAGGAGGGAGAGAGATAAAGTCCATATTTAATTTCAACTAAAGATTTCATTAGCATTTAATAAGGCACAAAAAAGGTAATAACAGTTACATCTAATATGTCAGGTATAATTGAAATATTTTTAACTTGTTTAGGTAATTTTATAAATAAAAATATAAGGAATATATAATTGTAATAAAAATCATAGCTTGAAGTAAGGAATGTAAATTCCTTAAAAAGAAAATGTCCAAAACTAATACTAATAATAAAAGCCCAACAAGTAAAAGACTACTAACGAAAACAAAACACACTAAATACGAAGACGATCATATTTATACACTAAATACGAAGACGATCATATTTATTTAAAAACGCTATCGCTATCATAATGACTATCCAAACATCTCAAAATACAGATGCAATTAAACTAACAAAAAAATTCATGAATCGTCTTAAAATATTCCTCCCCCCCTCAAAAAAAAAAAGGAACACACAGAATAATGTATACCTTCCTCAGTATCTCCTCTGCCTCTTCATACCGATAATTCCTCACCAAAATCTTTGCTTTAAACAGAGCCAAATCCAAATTCACAGAAAGGGGCTTCACACCAGAACCCGACTCGACTACCTTAGGCTCGAAAATCGGCACCTTCTTCGCGAGTCTCGACAGCCGTTCATCTAAACACGAAGAAGGCATAATACCTTTCACCTTATCAGACACTTCATTTTCGTCGAGTGCATTTTCTTCTCCGAACTTCATTACCGGCCAACGAACGACGAGCAACTCCTCTAAGGACTTCTTGGCGTTTGCGATCTCTTCATCGAGACATTCGCGGCTGTCGATTTCGCTGCTGTTGGCCTGTGATGAAGAATTTTGATGCTTTTCTTGAAGAACTGGAGATGATGATGATGAATCATGGGAATGTACAGGAATTAGAGTATGGTTGTTTGAGGTGGTTGAATGAGGTGTTTTCAGGGGTGTAAACAGATGGAATTTAGAGGAATTGGGGTGCTGAGAAGGAGAAAAAAGAGTGAACTTGGAGCATGAGTAAGAAGAAGAAGAAGAAGAAGAAGAAAACATATTAATCTCTTTTTTCTTGTTTATATATATATATATTTTTTTTTAACAGGTAAAACTGTAAGCAGGGGTGTTCTCCATGGGAATGTTATTTTTCCTCATGGATATCTCTTTTAGTGATATCTCTGTTAGGACAACGAATGTAGGAATTGAAGTTTCGATTGTTAAGTTTGTCTGAAGAGATATTTTCAGTTGAGGTCTTATTAACAATGAAAGAGGATATCTTATCGCTCAAGAAGAAAAGGTAGAAGAGAACAGGGGAGAGAGCTGCATGTTCTTTGTAAAACACTGGTGATTCTTGCACCAGATGATTGATAAAAGAGAGGGTATAAAAGTAACTGTAGCAAGAAGCGAGTGATCAGTAATTGGCCAAGTCACCCCAATAATGGGCGGCTCATACTTCTATCTGAGTAGTAGATTTTTTGCTGCCACGTGGAAAGATGTTGGATGATGCAATTCTTTGAGATGGAAAAACCTGATCTTTCTACACTGATGCAATTCTTTGAGATGGAAAAACATGATCTTTCTACACTCCCAAATGAACCTAAACCTTAAACTGAATCTTATTCTGTTTTCAAATTTCAATCACTTTACTCTATTTTAGTATTGTGTACACAGAATATACCCTAAGAGCATCTCCAATATTATAAGTGTGAAAGACCATTATTTTTAACACATGTTAATTAGTGATTGTAATGTTAATCAACATTGAAATGATGTTAAAAGACAAAAAAATTCAATGAAACTAGTATCTCCAATGCTTCAATTTGATAAGAAGTTATTTGTATAAGTGGACCAATTAAATAATTCATTGATACAAAAAATAAAAAATTAAAACAAATATAAAATAATTTCTTAAGTGTATGATATTGGGTTTTTTTTCGTTAAGCTTCAAATAATTTCTAAGATCTCTTAATAGCTTTGAGGTTTCATTGTATCTAAATATTAAATACTTTAAAACTTTGTCGGGTTTAAATTTTTTTGGAGGATTCTGTATAAAGTTTCAAACTTTAGCTCCTCAAGGTCTATAATATTTTTTTAGAGAAATTAGCACAAAATTTGTTTTTGTCCTTTCGTTAGGTATTGGCTGCTCAAGGATTCTGTATAATTTTTTTAGGTCTCACCTTCAATTGTTTTTGTTCTTTTCTTAGAGCAATTAGTAAAAAAATCAGGTTAAGTAATTAGTGAATTTGAATGAAAATTTGAGATTTTGAGTTGTTGTCAAACTTCAAATTCCTCACAGTCACAAGCACTTGTTTAATTTCATGTTTATTTCTAATTTCTATCCTTTATAGAATGTGGTTGAATATTGATATTTATTTTGTAATGTGGTATGAGTCATTGAAATCAAAGTTCTTGATTTATAATTGTATTCATGTTTTACCATATCAACATTCAATAGGTATGTCTAGCCCCCTTTTCAGTTCAAATCAAGGTTCAGCAGGTATGGAGCAAATGAATGAAGTTGATATGGAAGAAAATCTAGATGTGATGAGTGATGAAGAGCTTGCAGTTATAGATGAAGACAAAGAGCAGACTTACCCGGAAGGGGAAGGTGGAGATAAACCGTTTGAGAAAAAAAAAACGAGGAAAGACATCAACGGTGTGGGATAATATGGAAGTCGTAACGCTGGAGAATGGAACAAAAAGGGTGAACTGCAACCACTGTAAGTCATTGTTTGCAAAGGGTGAAACTGGAACTACATCTCAGTACCAGCGTCATCTAGCATCATGTCTACAAAGGCAATTGAACTCCGAATTTCAAAACAAGATTACGCAACAGGTTTTGTCGTTTTCAGAAGGTCAAACTGACGGTATCACTTCTATTACCAATTTCTCATACAATCATGCAAAGGTGCGAGAACTTGCATCTCATATGGTATTAGTGCATGAGTATCCATTTTCTATGATGGATCATTATGTTTTCAACAAGTTCATGAAAGCTGCAACTCCATTTTATAAAAAGATTACCCGTCAGCAGGTGTTGTAAATATTTTTTCGGAGTAGAATCAAGAGATTCGAACACCGGGTCGTGTCTCACGAGAAAGGTCACCCGGAATATTATGCACGTTTATTCAAGCACGCAAAAGAAAATGAAATTCCTAAACATTCTAATTCTGATGATTTGGTTTGATTATTAACTACGAAAAAAAAAAAAACTGCAAATGAAGCAAATAAAATAGCACGCAACAACGAAGAACAAGTAGGATTTAAGAACCTAGGGAGTCGGGGATATCCGTTTTGGTTCGAATTGTGACTATTGGGCAAGTGATCGTTCGGTTAAGTGATTTGAATAATTTGCTCGTTCAAGTACTCATCCTCAATAACTCTTCGTAACAAGAGAACAAACTTGAACGGCAAAATTAACAAGTCATTTAACTCCTAGGCAATACAGTTACGAACAAGCCTAGTTTACTCGAGCCTATTTCGACCGACTCCTCCCTTTTCGGTTCTAAGAGTCGATTAGATTAGACTAGAGGGTTGTCAACTAACTAATCAATAAGAATAACCATTATCATGCGAGAATACATCGAATTCAATCGTAGATTGGAAATTGAAGTGTCACTCTTCAATAATTCTCAATACTCAGGCCCAATATTTGAAAAATCCTTTTGAAGCATAACTCGTACAAATAGAACGATCAATAAATCCCAACAATCACAAACGAATTCAAAACATTAATCCCCTGTTCCCTAGCATATGAATTTAGCTACTCATGATTGACTCAACACAAGCAATCTCACAAATCAAGACAAACATATTCATGGATTAGAAGAATAGAAAATCTTACGTTAAACCGAAATTGAGAGTTGAATCTGATAAACAAGATTAATCCAAAAGTAGTAGCAAAATCCGAGTGCAAATCCGTGTTCAACGATGAAAAATATAAAGAGAACGATGAAAAACGAGAGAAAAGTGCGAGAGTAGGGTTTTTCTGTGTTCTGGAATGCGTCAGAATGAGAGATCCCCTTTTCTCTGTCAAGCCCGATCCGTATTTATACATGGCAGGGCATCACGGAGTGAGAAAACATGGCACGACGCGAGAGGAGTGGCTGCCGTGGTGCGGGGGTCTGTCGCGGCGCGAGGGAAGTGCTGGCCGCGGCGCGGGACCTGGTAGCGGCGCGGAGAGCGTGCAACGTGAAGCCTCTGTCCAGGCGTGGAAGTCGTCACGAGTTGGCCTGCGGCATGGAAGGGCAGGCTTCCGCGGCGTTAGAGTGTGCCGCGGCGTGGAGCTGTGTTGTCCTGGGCACGGTGTCGCGGCGTGGTGATCTGACGCGGCGCGATGGATGCAGGCGTCGCGGCGCGAAGGCATAGCGCGGCGTGGAGTGCTTGAATGACGTGGTGTCTTTTCTGCTCGCCCGTGGCGCTGGGCGCGAGGTGCATCGCGGCGCGAGGATAGGACACTGGCACTGCGCAAGCGCTCCGCGGCGCGGCACTGGGAGAGGCACCGTCTGAAGGCCCGTGAAGGGTGTCACGGCGCGAGGGCCTGGCGCGGCAGTCCGGGCAGCATGCTCGACTTAATTTCTCAGGCCCGTTCGGGTTCGTCTGGACTCGGAATTTAATTTCGTTTTTTCCTGTGTGTTGCCAGCGAATAGTTCTATGCAATTGTATCCACCCGGTCCAAATATCATGAAAAATAAATTCTCCCGAACTTTCCATCCTGCGCACCAAAGACGAGAAAAACTGGAAAAACGACCGAGAAACACAAGGATAACCAACATAAAACAAGACACGCAATAAACTATAAAAAGGAATAAAAACTAACGAAAAGACTCAAACGGGGGAAAAAGAAATGAAAAAATGATAAGGAAAAACGCAACAAAAATGGAACAAACAGCAGGTAAAAGAAGATTGTTATATAATTTATCAGATAGAAAAAAGAAAGCTGAAACTTCTCTTAAAGGGTGCTAGTCGGGTTTCTATAACCACCGATTTGTGGAAATCTGGTCAGAAAATTCAATACATGGTTGTGACAGGGCATTTTGTTGATTCTGATTTGGTGTTGCAAAAACGTGTTTTGAACTTTTGTAATGTACCTCCTCCACATACAGGAATCATTATAGCTGATGCATAAAGTAAGTGTTTCATTGATTGGGAGATTCAGAATAAAATTTGTAGCATCACCGTCGACAATGCTTCCTATAATGATTTGTGTATCAAGAGACTTAAAGAGGATTTTGCTTTAAGAAAGAAATTAAGTATTCGTGGAAAAATATTTCATGTGAGGTGTTGTGCTCATATACTTAATCTGTTAGTAAAAGATGGTTTGAAGAACATTGGAAATGTGGTTGATGTTGTTAGAGATGGGATTAAGTACTTTAATAATTCAGAGTCTCGCCTCATTCAATTTGCCAAAATTGCAAAACAATTGCAGTGTCCTTCTAGAAAGTTGATTTTGGATTGCCCAACTAGATGGAATAGAACATATCTCATGTTGGCCTCGGCTTTAGAGTTTAAGAATATTTTTCCGAGGTATAAGGATATTGATGTTGGGTATAGTCATGTTCCAGATGTATACGAGTGGGCCGAAGTGGAAGAAGTGTGCAAATTTCTTGGTAGCTTTTATGAAATCACTAACATGATTTCAGGATCCGACTATCCAACCTCTAATCTATTTCTTGTGCAGCTTTATAGGGTTAAGGAGCTGTTAAAAGAAAAGGCTTTAGATGAATCTGAGCACATCAGAGCTATGGCCTCGGATATAGCATTGAAATTCGATAAATATTGGGGAGAGTGTAATGTGTTGTTGTTATTTGGTGCTATTCTAGATCCGAGGTATAAAATGGTACTTATTAATCATGCTTTTCCGATAATTTATGGTGAAGTAAACGTTGTGGAAAAAGTCTCTGAAATTAATGAGCTTCTTTATGAGCTTTACAATGAATATGTTGATGCTCATATGTTATCTTGTGCCGAAGAACCAACAAAGAAGCACGTAAAGCGGAAAAAAGATTAGATTGGCTCTTCTTCTGTTCAAGTTCACGGAGGTAAGAAACCTGGAGTTAATGTTCTCACTGGTAGGGAAAAGTTTATATTACTTGTGAGTGAAATTGATAGAGCCCCCCAGAAAAATCATATTTGGATTTGTACCTAGAAGAAGGTAGATACATTTGCGTCTGCTAATCTTGATGTTTTAGCATGGTGGAAGGGGGAGCGTCTAAGATTTCCAATATTATCAAAAATGGCATGTTATATTCTTTCAGTACCAGTGGCCTCCGAGTCTACCTTTAGTGCTGGTGGTCGAGTAATTGATGATCGACGAGCTACTTTGACGGTAGAGACTGTGGAAGTACTACTTTGTGGTAATGACTGGATCCGGAATCATTATGGGTTGAAAACCAGGCCTCGTGGAAGTGTAATAAACATTCTTAAATTGATTTTCAAATAGAATTTTTACCTTTTTTATATCTGTTTTTGTGTTAGTATAATGACTTGTCTATTTTTATTTTTGTAGGATGAAATAGATGTTTCTAAATCATCAACATATCATGAAGTTGAACTTCCTCAGGCTTGATCAAGTGGGTGGCAGACTTGCTAGTTTTTAGCATGGAAACCTTTTTGCAAGATGTTTTTATTCACTGAAACCTTAAAAAACAATGGATGTTAATTGCAGTGAATGTTTTTTGGCATTGAAACCTTTTTAATGTGTTGTACTCAATTTGGACAATATGTACTAAAATTTGGTTGTGTTTTTATTCAGTGTGTTTTGTAATATTTATGTTTGGACAATATCTACAATTAAGGCAGCAGTCCTTATAAGCGGCACATGCATCTACAATTTCGCTAAAGGTAATGGAATCGTTTGACCATGTGAGCCTAAAGTGAAAAAATTCTAGTATGTAATATATATCAGATATCATACGATATACTTATATTGTTAGGCCAGTATATTGATTAAGTAGTAGTATTTGTGTATGTATAAATTATATATTCCTATATGTGTCTGTCAATAGTAGAATATAAATATTCTCAAGAATTGTATATTATATTTTGTTGCACATTATACAACTACACAATGGGATTTCAATTAATAAATTTTTGCAGTAGTATATAACTAAAATTAACTTAAGAACAAAACGTAATAATTCAATTTCAGAGTATCATTGTTTAATACTAACATGTCTGACTTTGTATGAATTTGTTAGTACCTGGGGTTGCGTTTTCTTTTCTTGATCTCTTATTATCATAACCTTGCATTTGTCTGGGTTTGCACGCTCTTCGCCATTATTTGTCCTCATACTTGTTTATCGTGTGCCTACTCAATCGTGCAAATGCTAGACAATAAGGATTTAGAAACGATTATTAGGTGAGTCACATAGTCTGCATATTGTAAAGTAAACTTCATAAAATTAATGCAGAATAGGATATAAAAGCAAAATACGGCGAGGAAATCATTATACTTTACTTACGTCCGTGAATCAAAGTTTGCTAATTGATCTTGTTATGGCTTCAGTTACGTGAATGTTGCCTTCTTCAGTATATAAAAGCAAAATACGGAGCGGAAATCAGTATGCTTTGCTTATCGGCTGTACAAATCTTCTTCTGTCATCTGAATGTTGTTGCAGTAAGATCTTAAAGTTCTCAATCCTCGTGTGCTACGATCCTAATTTCTGAATGTTTTGCAGTAGGGAGTTTTGGAAAAATCTTGCTCTTTGCTGTTGAGTTTTGTTTTGGTTTCTTCGACACAACTTTGAAGAAGACAAATAATGTTAAAGGTTTTTATGGCACATGCTTTTATTTATAACAACAAAATTTGTTCCTAATTTGCAACCATATACAGAGTTATGTATATCTTTTTTTTAGAGAACATATGGAATTTTTTACATGTTTATCTCTTAGTACCATCTTATTATTTTGACACATGATTTTAGTTATAACAACAAAATTTGTTCATTATTTGCAACCATATATAGAGTTATGTATATATATATATATATGTATATATATATA